AGAGAGTGGGGTGGGCATTGAAGCTGCTTCCTGCATCTTAAACCTGGTCAGAACGTTGTTGATGTAGAACTTCTGCGAGAGGGTGATGGTGCGGGCCGTGCGATCACATGTGATTTCCATGCCCAAATAGTTCGTCAGTTTCCCAAGATTCTTCATAGCCAGCTTCTCACCAAGTGCGGTTTTGACTGCTGCCAACTCAGTCTGATCCTTGGTGACAAGGATCATGTCATCGACATAAACCAAGATGAAGAAGCGGGATGGTGTTGCTCGGATGAAGAGGCTGGGGTCAGAGGTGGATGGGTGAAAGTCGAGGGACCCTAAGGTGCTCTTGAGCTTGTTGTGCCATTCCCGGGGTGCTTGCTTGAGGCCATAGACTGGTCGATTCAGCTTCCATACAGTGCCTGGTGGAAAAGGAGCTGGAAATCCTTCGGGCCGCTCCATGTAGATTTCCTCTCGAAGGATCCCTTGCAGAAACGCAGAGGACACATCCATGCAGCCAACCTCCATGTCATCTCGAGCGGCAACATCGAGAAGGGTGCGCAGTGTGGGAGGTTTGGCGGTGGGAGAGAATGTCTCAAAGAAGTCCAGTCCATGCTTTTGGGTAAATCCCTTGGCACAGTACCGGGCTTTGAAGACGGGAAATTCGCCTGGAAGTTGTTTCACCCGGAAAACCCATTTTCCCTTCACAATGTTGACGCCGGAGGGGGGAGAGACATCTGTGAAAGTTCCTGTGTGAATGAAGGCCTCACGGTCTGCGACAATGGCCCCTAGCCACTGAGCGGCGTGAGGACCAGAAACTGCTTCAGCATAGGTGAGAGGTGTGGGGATGGAGGGGTTGTCCGAGAAGTTGAGGGTGGGAGATTCTGCGATATTTGGAAAGAGGGAGCAGAGTGCGTGTATGGCTGAGTCAATCTCAATCAACTCCTCATGTCTGTCCTCAAGAAGGGAGGGCATGAGCGAATAATCACCCCCGACAGGAGGAGGATTGAGAGAGACACGAATGGAAAGGGAAAGAGGCTTGGGAGCTTTGCGCGAACGGGTGCGACCAGCGATGGGGGAGGGAGGCGGAGCTGGAGGAGGAGAAGCAGCAGGTGTAGTGGCAGCATCAGGAACAGCAGCTGGATCAGGAGCAGGATCTGGATCAGGAGGAGGAGCAGGAGCAGGAGGACGGCGTTGGTAGGTTTTGAGAGGAATGGGCTCGGGGGCGGGAAGGAGCGGGGGAGACTGCGTGGTGCTGGAAGGGGAAGCGGGTGACGGGGGATCGGAAACTGTGGAGGGAGCGGGAAGAGGAGGAGATGGAGTGGTGGTAGGAGGAAGGCTGTCAAAGTCAGCCCAAGTAAGAGAAGGAGGCGGAGGAGAAGGAGAAACTGTGGAGGAGGGGTAGAACGGGTGGGATTCATCGAAGAAAACATCTCGGCTGCGATAAAGTTTGTTGGTGGTAGGATGGAGGAAGAGGTAGTCTGGCGAGTCCGAGTTGTGCCCGAGGTACACGCACGTGATTGTTTTCGGAGCAAGCTTGTCGCCAGCTGCACGACGGGCTTGGGAGTTGAGGAGAACATAGGAAGTGCACCCCCATACACGAAGAGGGCGGACGGACGGCTTTTGACCCGTCCACAGCTCTGCGGGGGTGGTGTGGGTGTGGTGAGGATGAGGATGGAGATTGTGGAGGGCGGCAGCATGGAGCATGGCGTATCCCCAAAGAGAGGGAGGGGCGGAAGCATGAGTGAGGAGGCAGCGAGCAATCTGCACCAGGATGCGGTTTCGGCTCTCAGCAACACCGTTCTGTTGAGGGCTATCTGGGAGGGTGAAGGTCTGACGAATACCCTCAGTAGAGCAGAAAGCTTTGAGAGTGTTGTTGCGGAATTCACCGCCACCGTCAGAGTGAAGAATCTTGATTTTGGTTTTGAAGTGTGAATGAGCCTGCCTTGCCCATTCCATGATAATGGCTGGAGCTTCAGACTTGGCGGTGAGAAGGTGAACGGACACATAGCGGGAATAGTCATCAACGATGACAAGGAAATAGAAGTGTCCGCCACGGGAACGAACAGGAGCTGGACCCCAAAGGTCCATGTGTACGCGATCAAGAGGTGCGGTAGAGGTGGACTCAGTGGGAGGATGGGGCTGTTCCCGAAGCTTGCTCTGTGCACAGTCAAGGCAAGGTGGTCCAGAAAGAGAAGGGGGTTGTGGAAGTGAGGCGGGCAGCCCATGAAGGAGTTGTTTGGTGGCAAGGACTGAAAGTGCGCGGAAGTTGATGTGGCCGAGGCGGTGATGAAATAGCATAGTCTTGTCATTGAGGAGGCGGCAGTGACATGAGGGGGAGTCTGAGGATGGAAGCGGAAGGTTGGTGAGGGAGCATGTTTGAACGGGAGGTACAACTAGTGTGTACAGGTTGTTGGAGTTGAGGGTGAAGCGGGCAAGATGGAGTCCGGTTTTGGCGTCAAACATGTCACAGTAGTCAACAACATCATTGGGAAAGATGGTGATCACGCCTGCGTGTTGGATTTCCCGCTGTGCAAGAAGGTTGTAGCGGAGGGTAGGGCACAGATGCCAGTGACTGTGCCGGATGGGAAAGCTGGACAGGAAACTGTGGAGGACCCATGGCATTGGATGGAGAAGCTAGAATCGGCTCCAAGGAGTGAGGTGGGAGCCTGGTAGGGAACGAAGGCAGTTTGGTCTTTAAGCACTGTGTGGGTGGCACCACTGTCTAGTATGAACTCAATTCCCTGTGTGGTTGAAACACCGATGTACTGCGACCCCTTCTCATTAATAAGACCAGCACCAGAGAACAACAGGTTAAGGCGAACATCAGATGGGGCACTAGCAAATGCCTGAGCAGGTTCCTCCACTGCCTCGACCTGGTTCACGCGACGGGGTGGTGCTCAGTTGGGAGGGCGCTTGTCCTTGGAGACACCGTGGACGTCATACCACTCGTCATCTCGCTTCTTGAAGCAAGTTGCCTCAGGGTGGTTGGTGCCGTTGCATTTCTGCCCCGCACGTGGACCCTTCCTAATGAGGTACTGGCATGGGGGAAAGGAGTTGCGCCTCTGGCCCTGCTGGGAACGAAATGGGATGCCAGGGGAGTAGCGCACAGCATTGACGGATGCCTGGGCTGCAATGTCCTTTTCGGCAGAGAGAAGGGCCGAAGCGACTTTCTCGAAGGTGAGTTCCTTGGTGGGGAGCTGCTTGAGCATGGAACTGGTGACGTTGTAGGCCGGGGTGAGTCCGACGAGAAGCCCAGCAGCAGGTGCCTGTTCGGGGAAGGTGATCCCAATGTCCTTGAGCTCCTCATGGATGTTGCGGATTTCAGAGATGTAGTCTGCCATGCCCGGGCATTCCTCAAGGCGGATTTGGAACATGCGAGGAATGAGGATTGCAACTCCCACGGCAGTTTTGTCATGAAAGCGATCCTGGAGGTACTTCCAAATGTCATGCGCAGAGCGGAAGGTGCGGTAGGACTTGACTAACTCGACTGGGGTGGTGGTGATGAAAACCCTAATCACTGCCGCATCCGCCTGCTCCCAGAGACTGAAGTCCGTCTCATACTTGGTGGTTTTAGCGTCGAAAGCAAGCTTGGCTGTGGCAGTGGCGCCTTCGCCGAGAGGATCGGGAGGGAGAGGCATCTTCCCCTTGCCGCGATTGAGGAGGATGTCTTTGAGGCAAATCCCCTTGAGCTCCGAGCTAAGGAGGTGCTTCTCCACTCCATAACACCACTCCCCGAAATTGGTGCTCGTGCCGTTGGGAGCGAGGTTAAGGATGATGAGGTTTCCGACGAGAGTGGAAGTTGAAGTTGCCATTTCGCGCGGAGCGCAGCGCTAAAGTCTCCGATACGTAGCGGAGCGGAGTTCGGGTGATTTTGGAAGTTGAGGAAGTTCGAAACGCGATTTTGGCAATAGAATGCCCGTACTATACCCTGATATACTGCTTCGCCAATGCCCCCTGTTTTGCTTCGCTGCTGCCCCTGTTCCGCTTCTCTGCTGCGCCGCTGACCTGTTCTGCTGCGCCGCTGACCTGTTCTGCTGCGCCGCTGGACCTGTTCTGCTGCGCCGCTGAACCTGTTCTGCTGCGCCGCTGAACCTGTTCCGCTGCGCCGCTGAACCTGTTCCGCTGCGCCGCTGAACCTGTTCCGCTGCGCCGCTGAACCTGTTCCGCTGCGCCGCTGAACCTGTTCCGCTGCGCCGCTGAACCTGTTCCGCTGCGCCGCTGAAAACCTGTTCCGCTGCGCCGCTGGACCTGTTCCGCTGCGCCGCTGAAAACCTGTTCCGCTGCGCTGCTGAAAACCTGTTCGAAGTTAAGAAGATGCGAAAATTGTCACGGAGATAGAAAAACCAGAAGCTTACGATGAAGGAAGTCGAAAGCTGAGAATGTCGCCGTTGAAAAACGAGATGCGCGATGAAGGAAGCCGAATGCACGCTTGACCGGAGCGACGATGTGAAGTTTCTGAAAAACGCTAAGCGTAGGAGCCGGGAACCGAAATAGGCATAGCCTAAAAGGAGAGAACCATCGGGACGCCAAGGATCGGATTCCGCGTGAGCGGAATTTACTAGCTCGATACCATGATAGAATTGGAAGTGAACTGATTGCTTGATAAGGAAGGCACTAGGCCTTAAGTACAAACAGGGTTGGGTTGAGCAAAGCTAGGGAAAGGATGGAATGGGAATCCTAGCAAATCTCCAATTGGTGAGTTGGCAGATTTGCAGGATTACGAGGGAATCCCAACCAGATAGGGTTGGGATTACAAATCTACACCCAACCTACAAAGTAACCTAACCGATATAGAATATAGTACAAAGTGTTGACTGACTATTTCTAACACTTCTCACCCACCTGCTCACTAGCAAGCGCGCCAATCTGGCTGCCCCGCGGTCGCGAGTGGAAGTAAGCATCAGACTCGGAATCAGGTACCCTCTCCACCTCTCCCTCCACTCGCACCTGTGGCGAATTGATAGCGAGTGAGAGAGTAAGAGAGTGAGTGAGAGTGCGAGTGAGGGGGAGACTCGGAATCAGGTATCTTCTCCACCTCTCCCTCCACTCGCACCTGTGGTGGGAGAGTTCTCGGGGTGAAGGCGATGCAACGTGGGAAGGGGAGAGAGACCGAGGGGAAGAATGGGAGAGAGACTGAGGGGAAGAACGGGAGAGAGACCGAGGGGAAGAATGGGAGAGAGACCGAGAAGAAGAATGGGAGAGAGACCGAGGGGAAGAATGGGAGAGAGACCGAGGGGAAGAATGGGAGAGAGACCGAGGGGAAGAATGGGAGAGAAACCGAGGGGAAGAATGGGAGAGAGACCGAGGAGAAGAATGGGAGAGAGACCGAGGGGAAGAATGGGAGAGAGACCGAGGGGAAGAATGGGAGAGAGACCGAGGGGAAGAATGGGAGAGAGACCGAGGGGAAGAATGGGAGAGAGACCGAGGGGAAGAATGGGAAAGAGAACGAGGGGAAGAATGGGAGAGAGTGAGGTAGAGTTGTCAGAGATAGTATGAAGCGGGAAAGTATCAATCAGATTGTCTCTGTTATATACATTCCAAAAGCAGGCTCCCACCCACCTGTCGGTGCAGCGACTCCCAGTAGAAGACAAGGGCGGCCTGAGCGGACGGCACGCCAGGCTGGCCCAGAAGCTCCTGCCCCTTGCGGCTTCTGTAGTTTGTGAAGAAGACAAAGCCCGCCGCGTCCGCCCCTTTGAGAAGCACAATGCGCGCTGAGCTGCGATGGACGAGGCGGTGGTGAGGAGGGGGGTGGACGGGGGGGGGGGGGGGGGGGGGGGGAGAGCAGGGGAAGGTGTAGAGTAGGTGGAGAAGTGAGGGTGGCGGGGTGAGGATGGGGGGTGAGGGTGTGGAACTTGGTGTGGGGAAATGGGGTACATACGATTTTCATATTCAAAGGTTCCGGCACAGAGGTTCCGGCACTCACAAAAAGGATATTCTACTTCCAACAATGCCACACGCAGCACAAAAAAAGCACACGGAGCACAAAAAGCAGAAGCGGCACAAGGAGCACCACTTTCAAGCAGTGAGACACATTGAGTGCTCCTGCATTATCGGAAACAGGGAACCCATGCCAGTGTGCTCCACACCGGCTTGCCCCTCCTGGCAACGTTCTTGCAAGGACCAGTTCCCCTGCCACCTTCCACCCCACCCCTGCAACCTTCCCTTTCCCCTGCCCGCCTCCCTTCTTCCCCCGCTCGCCCCCTCTCCCACCCCCCACCCTCCCCCTCCCGCCACTTTCCACTCCGCTTCCCCCTTTCCGTCCTCCCCACTTCCCCCCCTGCCCGGTGCTTACGGTCTCCCAGCGTCGTCCACAGTGCAGAGAGTCATGGCATTGGGATTTGGTGCACTGGCTGCTAGTGAAACGGTGGAAGTGCGCATGCAAGCAAGCAGAATCCCTCCCGCACCCTCCCCCAACCCTTCCCCCCTCCCTTAGTCGCCCACTGCTCCGTGCTTACGGTCTCCCAGCCTCGTCCACGGTGCAAAGGGTCATGGCATTGGGTTCCGGCACACTGGCAGCTAGTGCCTCCTTGAACCATGCTTGGAACTGACCCACGCAGACAGGGAGAGAGTGGACGGAGAGCGGGGGGGTGGGGGTGGGAATTGAGTTGACTCTAAAACCAGAACACACGGCTGCTAGCGCCTCCTTTAACCATGCTTGGAACTGACCCATACAGAAGGAGAGCGAAGGGGACGGGAGAGAGAAGGTGGTGTGAGGGTGGGGAGGGAGGTGGAGGGGTAGAGTGAAGAGGAGAGCACAGCAGATGGAGAGGAAGAGTGGGAGGTATAGTGCGGGGAACTGAGAAGAAAGCTGAGAAAAGGTAGTGGGGAAGTGGAGGAGAGATTCTTGCAACGTCTGAGTAGGGTGGGGGGGGAGGGGATGGCAGCAGCGAACCCACACCTGAGAGCTGGGATCCGAGACAGCCATTGATTCGACTCGAGAAGTTCTATCAGCACGAACCCACCTGGTCAATGGGATCGGGCAGAACGTCCTTCTTCAGAAGAGCCCTCCCTGAGTACTCCCTGCGCAGAGACGCCACATCCACCACCCCAACTGCAGCACCACCGCCACCAGCACTGCCGCTACCACCATTCCGATCTTCACTGCTTCCGCCTGCCCCTCCCTGTGCCTCCGCCCCTCCCCTCCCTGCACTAGCACCAGAATCGGCATCTCCTGGTGCTAGTGTGGAACCTCCAGAGCCACCCCCCAGGCGCACGCACTGCTGGGCGGCGGGGAAGGGCGGCAGGCGCAGGTTGTAGCGCGTGCGGATGGCGGGCGGGACGAAGCGGCCGCCCAGGTAGTGGTGGCCACCGGCGAAGGAGAGCGCACAGCGCTTGGGAGCCGTGAGGGAGATCTGCAGATGCGGGAGAGGGGGGGGGAAGGGAAGGGGGGGGGGGGGGAGCGTATGCAGAGAGAGGCATGTGGTTGTGGAGCGAAGGAGAGTGGACGGCGCTTGGGAGCTGTGAGGGAGATCTGCAGATGCAGGGGGGGAGAGGGGAAGTGAGGGAGAGAGCATTATGAACTTCTGTGGTTGCAGGGGGAAGCGGCAGAGCTTTTCAGGAGATCTGTTGCTGCGGAGGGAAAGGGGAGGGCGTATGCAGGAGCATGTGGTTGTGGAGAAACGAGAGAGTTCACAGAGCTTGGGGGCAGTGAAGGAGATCCGAGGTTGGAGGGAAGGGGAGTGGACGGGGCGAGTCAGAACAAGGCAAGGGTAAGGCGAGGAAGGAGAAGGAGAAATTGTCATGCGGGAATGGAGGGGAGGTTTGGAGGGAAGGCTTGGCACAGAGGCTCGGAAGGGAGGCTCGGAGGGTAAGAGGTTGCAGGGCGAGTGGGTGAGTAGATGCACCTGCTGTCTCCCTACCAGCACACCTGCTGTCTCCCTACCAGCACACCTGCTGTCTCCCTACCAGCACACCTGCTGTCTCCCTACCAGCACACCTGCTGTCTCCATACCAGCACACCTGCTGTCTCCTTACCAGCACACCTGCTGTCTCCCTACCAGCACACCTGCTGTCTCCATACCAGCACACCTGCTGTATCCCTACCAGCACACCTGCTGTCTCCCTACCAGCACACCTGCTGTCTCCCTACCACCAGCACACCTGCTGTCTCCCTACCAGAACACCTGCTGTCTCCCTACCAGCACACCTGCTGTCTCCCTACCAGCACACCTGCTGTCTCCCTACCAGCACACCTGCTGTCTCCCTACCAGCACACCTGCTGTCTCCCTACCACCACACCTGCTGTCTCCCTACCAGCACACCTGCTGTCTCCCTACCAGCACACCTGCTGTCTCCCTACCAGCACACCTGCTGTCTCCCTACCAGCACACTTGCTGTCTCCCTACAAGCACACCTGCTGTCTCCCTACCAGCACACCTGCTGTCTCTCTACCAGCACACCTGCTATCTCCCTACCAGCATATCGGGCTTCAGGCCTGTCCCAGCAGCGTCTCCCCGCTCCACATCCCACCCTGAAGGGATATCAATGGCCACTATAGGGGGGATGCCTGCAGCCTCTGCCGTGCTGCCAGGTGGCGCGATGAGACTGGCCAGGATGGAGTCAAAGGGAGGCCGGGGGGAGCCTGAGGGAAGAGGGGGAGAGGGAGGAGGTGAAGGGAGATGGGTATGCGATTGTTGATTTGAATGAGAATGGTTACTGAGTCGACTCTACAAGAACTCAGCTGAAAGAGAAGCTAGACGGATAATTGGACAGAGGATTTGTGGGGACGGGGTGAAGCGATGGGGAAGAGTGCAAAGGATGGAGTCAAGTCGGCATGAGCAACAGCACGGATTAGAGAGTGGGGAGGAGAGGAGGGCATGATGTCATGACATGGAGCTAACCACAGGCACTGAATTGTGCTTGTGACAGTGGCAGGGTGGAGGGTGCAGAGTGCACAGTAATGACTTCTGCATGTGCCAGGCTAGCCATGCCCAGCCATGCCCAGCCATGCCCAGCCATGCCCAATGGTGCATGCATGCATGAGTGCATGGGGGCGACCTTGGAAGGAGAAGCCGAAGATGGCATCAACGACAAGGTGGAAGGAGGGCAGCAGGGGGGACGGCAGCTGGTCGGGCGACAGGAACGGCACTCCCAGGGACTTCACCTGCACGTATGAACGCACACCCACGCACATCACGGGTCATGGGCGGGCATGGGAGTAACCCGGCATGATGAGCATGGACATGGGCATAGGAACAAATTTTAGACGCCTCATATGTTGTCGCTCTGCTCTACCTGCAGTTTCTGCATTACTGAACCTCCCGATACACCTGAGAAGGTATGGTCTCCCCCCCAACCATGGTTCCAGCCCCGCACCGTACCTGTGTGACGCGCCTCTGGTCCAACACAGCCCACAGCCCTACCTACCTGAGTGACGAGCCCATGGTAAAGGGGCTTGGGCGTCCGCTTGGGGTAGCAGACAGCGGGGCGGTAGCCAAAGTGGACTTCCTGTGAGGCGCCTCAGATGTCGTTTCTCTACCTGCAGTTTTCCAGATTGAAAACCTAGTTACTACCACACGTCCCACGCAGCCCTACCTGCGTGACGAGCCCTTGGTAAAGGGGCTTGGGCGTCCGCTTGGGGTAGCAGACAGCAGGGCGGTAGCCAAAGTGGAAGAGGTGACGTGCTGCCACGAGCCCGTCCCCCCCGTTGTTGCCCGGCCCACAGATGATCAGCACCGAGGGGAAGTGCGATGGGGGGTACTCCTGTGCGTGAGAGGGGGAGGCAGGAGTGTTGGGGAAGCAGATGAGTCGACTCAAAGTAGGTGACGTGCTGCCACGAGCCCGTCCCCCCCGTTGTTGCCCGGCCCACATATGATCAGCACTGATGGGAAGTGTGATGGGGGGTACTCCTGTGCGTGAGGGGGGGAGGCAGGAGTGGGTGTGGCGGGGGAGAGTAGAGTTAAGGTGGAAGGGGGAGTGAGGGGAAGGGAGGGATTTTGGAGGAGAAGTGGAGCATTAGCGTTCCCACGGGTGATTGCCATCGAGCGAAAGAGAACAGGCGACGAGGAGGTAGGTGGATTGTGAGGTGGTGGAAAGTGGAGGGAAGGGCGGTGGAAGAGGAGGAGAGGGAGCGAAAACGGGAGGCCAGAACGGTCGCAGGAAGGAAAGCATTCCAGCGCATGTCAGCATAGGCTATGGATGCGCTACGCACTAGCTATGCATGAGGTTATGCACCCATGGGTGCCTGTGACTAGGAAGGGAGGAATGATTGTAAGTGCATGTGCATGTGCATGTGCATGTGCATGCACCCCATTAGACCCAGGCCCCCTGCATATGCAGCAGCATGACCGTTAGATTTTGACGACAGGCAGGCATGCCTGCATGCTTCCTTCCCCTGCCAGACCGTTAGATTGTGGCGTTACCTGGTAGATGGCGCATGCACAGCTCAGCCCTGCCAGCTCCTGCCAGGGGGGCAAGGTGGGGACCAACAGCGAGGGGAGCGGAAGGCACAGCGGGGAATGTGGGGAATGAGGACAGGTACAGACCAAATACGCGGGTCACAAAAGCATTGGGTAACACGGGCGAGGAACATGTGGGAAGGCAGGGAAGTAGGGTAACACGGAATCGGAACGATCATATATGCTTCTATCCTCGATCTAGGTGCTGTTTGTCCCATGCACGATGCCATCATCTCAACAGGATCATGTCTTATGCTTATAAGCATCGTGCAGCGACCGCTTTGCGGTTGCTTTGAGCGAGCTCGAGTCGCAAGAAGCAGTTGGGGCACAACAGGGTGGAGGAGGTAGAAGCAGCAGGTGGCGGGAGCTGGGAAATCACGCTCAAGACCTTCAAGACGGAGGCACGTTCCACTGCACTGCACTGCACTGCACGGTGGTGTTTCTGATCTGAAGCGCCCATCTTCTCCTCCTCTCGTGCCTTGGCTTCATTCACTTCCACAAACCACCTGTTTCGCACACTTCGTGGTTCTTGCACCCCACCTTCCCTCCCCTTCCCCTCTACTCGTTCTCCTCCCCTTTATTTCTTCACGCCCGTTTCTTAGGCTTCCACACTCTCCCTGCATCGCCCTGCGCCCTCCACCCTCCCCGCCTTTCCCCCCCCCTACGCCCCTGAGCCCTGCTGCGCCGTGCGCGCGGGCGTGCGCGCACCATGAGCTGGTCGACGCTGAATCCCAGGCTCGAGAACAGCGCCTCGTCCACGGCGATAGCTTCCGCCTGACCCAAATACGACAGCGCGCCCTCCTCCACGCGCACATCCCCCTCCGCGCGCGCATTCCCCGCGCCTTGGCTTGGTCGCTCCGCCTCCATGCCGGCCCTCGTGACAAGCACGCGCTCGCGAGCGCGCCAAGCGGAGCTTCCGCCGGCGGGGAACTGCGCGGAGGGTGCCGAGCGCCGAGTGGAACGGCGGAAGAATAAGCTCGAGCCCGCGGGAAGGAACGGGGGGGTACTCGCGGGGAGGGACGCGGAAGGACGGGGCGCGGGGAATGATGCGCGGGGCAGTTGGCGGAGGAAAGAGGCGCGAAGGAAAGGAGACGCCGTAGTGGAGGAGACGGTGCGGAGCGAGAGCAGGGAGGACATGGCCAGGAAGGCAGGAAATTCGCGCAAGGGATTCTTCTGGAACTGAAAGGGTGGGATTACGCGGCGCGGGAATCTCGAGGCTGCTTGGGCGGGAAGGGCACAAGATGAGATGATTTGCATGCCCAAGCTTGCCCAAATGTCTTTTTTTGCCGTGTTCGCGCTTCTGCAACTTCGCATATGGGATTGCGATGATCCACCTGCTAGGGTGCAATTGAAGTATCCACATACATATACATAGTAGACTTATTTTACCTTCCATGTCTGAAACTGGTATTTGTGGTATGGGGTGTTACGATAAGGAAAAAATGAGTACATTGCATTCCTGTTCTTAACAAGGATCGAGCACAATCGGGTACGAATAGGAACGACCAGGATGACGCGAAACGTCGAGTACAGTTGGAGCATCTGGACCGACAGCGAGGTTGCAGTTTTGTTGTACCGTAATCACTTCAGTCATTTTACATTCACTCTTGTTGGGCTGAGAAAAAGCCCTAGGATCTTGTCATAACATTATAGCTTTTACATTTGTGTAGGCTACAGTGGGGTAGCCCATAAGGGGTACAACCCAATTAGGGTTAGTACTTGTACCCAACTGTTTGCTAGTCCATTCATTCTCGTTCGTTATTTTGACATGGAATCAGAGCAGGTTCCTTGGGCCCACCACCTGCTACACTGCTCGTAACCCCCCTAGGCCCGTCACCCCTAGGCCCGTCGACCCTAGCCTACGCGCCCGGCCCGTCGACCCTAACCTACGCGCGCCCGGCCCGTCGCTCCTAGCCTACGCGGCCCGTCGACCCCTAGCCCGTGGCCCGTCGACCCCAGCGCCCGGCCTCGTCCCTAGCCCGCGCCCGGCCCCGTTCCTAGCCCGCGCCCGGCCCCGTCCCTAGCCAGCGCCCGGCCCCGTCGGCCCTTAGCCCCGTGCCAGGCCTCGAACCTAGCCCGCGCCCGGCCCCGTCCCTAGCCCGCGCCCGGCCCCGTACCCAGCCCGCGCCCAGCCCCGTACCTAGCCTGCGCCCGGCCCCGTACATAGCCCCGCGCCTGGCCCCGTCCCTAGCCCAGCGCCCGGCCCCGTACCTAGCCCGCGCCCGGCCTCGTACCTAGCCCGCGCCCGGCCCAGTACCTAGCCCGCGCCCGGCCCTGTACCTAGCCTCGCGCCCGGCCCCATTCCGTACCTGCCCAGCGCCCGGCCTCGTCCCTAGCCCAGCGCCCGGCCCCGTACCTAGCCAGCGCCCGGCCCAGTACCTAGCCCGCGCCCGGCCCCGTACCTAGCCCCGCGCCCGGCCCCGTTCCGCGCCCAACGCCCGGCCCCGTACCTGCCCAGCGCCCCGCCCCGTCCCTAGCCCAGCGCCCGGCCCCGTACCTAGCCCGCGCCCGGCCCCGTACCTAGCCCGCGCCCGGCCCAGTCCCTAGCTCGCGCCCGGCCCTGTACCTAGCCCGCGCCCGGCCCAGTCCCTAGCTCGCGCCCAGCCCCGTACCTAGCCCGCGCCCGGCCCCGAACCTAGCCCGCGCCCGGCCCAGTCCCTAGCTTGCGCCCGGCCCCGTACCTAGCCCCGTGCCCGGCCCCGTCCCTAGCTTGCGCCCGGCCCCGTACCTAGCTCGCGCCCGGCCCCGTACCTAGCCCGCGCCCAGCCCCGTCCCTAGCCCGCGCCCGGCCCCGTCGGCCCCTTGCCCCACTATCACTGCTGCTCCTGCTACAGCTACTACTGCTACTGTTACAGTTGCTACTGCTGCTCCTACGTACTGCACAGCTATGGCTTCGCTTCGGGTCCTTGCGTTTGATCATGAGGGTAGACCAGTTCAGTTTGACACATGGCTTGACGACCTCCAGCTGTACATACTGAGCGTTTCTAAGGACAGTGTCTCGCTGTTTGACCTAGCGTCAGGAGTTGCTACTGCCCCTACCGCCACAGCTGACAGTTCGACTCGCTCACAGTGGCTTACTTGCGACGCTGCTGCCCGCTTAGCCATTCGCAACCACCTGCCATTAGCTGAATGCGCTCACTCCGGACAACACAGGACAGCACAAGCGCTGTACGACACTGTAATCGCCCGCTACTCCTCCCCTGCCACTGCTGCTCTAGGCCGCCTCCTTCTGCCCTACCTGTTCCCCGAGCTGTCCGCCTTTGCCACAGTCGAGGACCTGGTTTCCCACCTTCGCGCTAGTGACGCTCGCTACCGCGCTACCGTTCCTGCTGAGTTCCTTGACAGGAACCCGCCCCCGATGTACATCACTCTCTACTTTATAGTCACCCGTCTCCCTGACTCTCTTCGCTCTGTCAGGGACCACTTCCTCTCTCTTGACCCCACCTCCTTCACTGTTGACCTCCTCGAGCAGCATCTCCTCGCAGCTGAGACTAGTGCAGTTGCTGTAGGTGCTGCTCGTGGCACTCCGCGCCCGCCCTTCTTTGAGGGGTGTTCCCCATCCCCCTTTGCCCCCTCCTACGCCTCTGCTGCTGCTGCAGACGTCTCTGTTCGTGAGGATGTCGGGGCTGCTTCTGCTAGTGCGAAGCGCCGCAGCAGCAAGGGCAAGGGTGGCCGGGGTGGTGGTGGTGGCAGCGGTGGTGGTGGAGGTGGCAGCGGGAGTGGTGGTGGGGGCAGCAGTGGAGGTGGTGGCGGCGGTGGGACTGTTGGTGCGAGTGGCGGCTCTGGTGGCGGTGGTGGAGGCAGCGGTGGGAGTGGCGGCAGTGGAGGCGGTGGGACTGGAGGCGGTGGGACTGGAGCTCGGCGTGTCGGTTCTGGGGGTGGCCAGCGTCAGGAGCAGCAGCGTCCGGGCGAGACCCCCTCTCCCCAGCAGCTTCGTGAGTGGTTTTTGCGTGGGGCGTCTGGGGGTAGTTGCCCGTATGTCATTCGCACGAGTGACCGTGCTGGTCAGACTTGCGAGAGGCTCCACACTCAGCACCGCTGCTTCTCCCGCCTCGACGACGCTTGGCGTGCTAAGTTTGATGACGACGTCGAGCTCCCTCGCTGGGCAGATCTGCTTAAGTCTAGGATTGCTATCTTTGACCTAGACTTTGATGCTATTCTCTCTGCTATGTATGCTTTGTCTGTTAGTGCTGAGGGTGACTGTTACCGGTGTGTGCCGCCTAACCCAGGTATAGCCGCTGCTGCTCTAGGTGCTAGTGAGTCTGGTACTCTCCCTGGTACTGCGCCTGCTCAGGCCTTGCACACCTTCACGTTGGACTCAGGCGCCTCGCGCTGTTTCTTTCGTGACAGCACCACCCTCACTCCTCTTCCTGCACATGTCCCGGTTTGACTGGCTGACCCCTCCGGGGGACCGGTCGTGGCCCGTTCCTCCACTGTCCTCCCGTGTCCGGCGTTTCCATCCGGCTCACTGTCAAGTCTTCACCTCCCCTCGTTCTCTACGAACTTGGTGAGTACCGCTGACCTCCAGGATGCGATGGTCACTACCACCACTCCTGGGGGTCAGCGTGTGTCGATCTGCACGTGCACACGGATGGGCCGTCACCTGGCCACGTTCACTCGTCGGCCAGGGTCGAGTCTGTACACACTCGCTACCGAGCCTTCTCAGGTAGCTACGTCTGCTCAGGTGTCCGCGTCAGGTCAGGTAGCCGCCTCTTGCTTGTGTCGCCTCCTGTCGCACCAGACTCTTCTGTGGCACCACCGCCTGGGTTATCCCTCCCTGCCTCACCTTCGTGGCATGCACTCTTGTCCTCTTGTCTCTGGTCTCCCCAGGTCTCTGCCTCCCCTACCGCCCTCGCCTGCCCCGCCCTGCCTCCCTTGCGTCGAGGGGCGGCAGCGCGCCGCTCCTCACTCCTCCTCGTTTCCCCAGACGACTGCTCCCCTGCAGACTCTCCACATGGACGTGTGGGGCCCAGCCCGCGTCAGTGGACAGAGCTGCGAGCGCTACTTTCTGCTGGTAGTTAACGCCTACACGCGGTAGACCACGGTCTTCCCCTTGCGCAGCAAGGGTCAGGTCGTTGATGTCTTGATCCCTTGGATCCGCACAGTCCGTCTCCAGCTCCGTGAGCGGTTCGGCCAGGACCTTCCTGTCCTGCGTCTGCACTCTGACAGAGGTGGTGAGTTCTCCTCCAACCTCTTGCAGGACTTTTGTCGTGGGGAGGGCATTCTCCAGTCGTTCACGCTTCCGGACTCCCCTCAGCAAAATGGGATTGCTGAGCGCCGCATTGGCTTAGTCATGGAGGTCGCTCGTACCTCCATGATCCATGCGGCTGCTCCCCATTTTCTGTGGCCGTTTGCGGCCCAGTACGCTGCGCATCAGCTCAACCTCTGGCCCCGTGTCTCCTTGCCGGAGACCTCGCCCACACTGCGTTGGACGGGGGAGGTTGGCGATGCGTCGGTGTTCTGGGTCTGGAGATCTTGTGCCTTTGTTCGCGATACGTCCACGGACAAGCTCTCCCCCCGTGCTATCCCCTGCGTCTTCCTTGGCTTTGTCCCCGACGCGCCTGGCTGGCAGTTTTACCACCCCACCTCGCGCCGTGTCCTCCCTTCTCAGGACATCACGTTTGACGAATCGGTTCCCTTTTACCGTATCTTCTCCTACCGCTCTGCCCCTCCCTCGCCCGCGCCGCTCTTCCTTGCTCCCGGTCCCCCTCCGGTAGACCCCCTCCCGCCCCAGGGTCCTGCTCCCTCAGGTGTCTCTCAGGTAGACCCTCTTCCTGGTACTGCGCCTGTTCAGGTAGCTGTCGACTCAGGTGCTGCTCGAGGTGCTGCGTCTGGGGGTGCTGCGTCTGGGGGTGCGGAGCCTGGGGTTGCGGAGTCTGAGGGTGCTGAGACTGGGGGTGCTGAGCCTGGGGGTGTTGAGACCGGGGGTTCTGAGCCTGGGGGTGTTGCGACTGGGGGTGCTGAGCCTGAGGGTGTTGAGCCTGGGGGTGTTGCGTCGGAGGGTGCGGAGTCTGGAGGTGCGGAGCCTCAGGGTGCTGCTTCGTCTTGAGGTTCTGCTGGTACTTCGCCGAGCCTGTCTCCGCAGCAGTTGCGTGAGTGGTTTGTTCGGCATACGCGCCTTTGGAGTGGAGCTTCTGGAGCTGGAGGTGCTGGCCCTGCTGGAGCTGGAGGTCCTGGAGTTGCTGCTAGAGCTGGTGTTCCTGGAGGTGCTCGTACCTGGGGTACTGGAGCTGCCAGGACTGGTGGGGTTGAGGGTA